ATTTCTTTTAGGCAAATACCGGGTTATGGCATAGATTCGCGAATCGGAATTCGCGGCTACGTTAAAAGAGAACAAAGAAAAATGCTTTTTAGTTTTTAGAGACATCGCGATTGCGGTGAAACTAAGTGAGAGTGAATCGTGAATAAAACTAGTTTCATCCATCTACTGTACATGTGACTTGTGGACAACACTGGGAGGCAAAACATTCCCCATAATCGGAGCATTTTTTGGGGGGGGTTTGAATTCTGGCCCCATTCATTCATCCCCGTCACTTGGAATCAATACAATATGTATTCCCATACATCAAGCACCTACCACAGCTGTGACATTAATAAGGTCAAAAAGTCGACCGGAAGCGTCCCGACAGGAAGCTGGATCATTTAACCGGAAGTCTCTCTTCATTTTCCCAAACTACCGCTGACTTCTTCATTGAACACCGAAAACTCAGCCTCCCTCTACGCCCGTGGGAAATTGTCACCCGGGTGACCCTATGCGGAGGATTGGCGGACTGTCGGAAGGACGGAATGGAATGGTGGAATACATGGAATATTCTGAAGTACGGAATATACTGAGAGACGGAATTTACAAAATATTCTAAAACAAAACACGGAATATACGGAATATTTTAAAACGCTTCGCGGCTTGCTCTTGATCTCTTTCGCGAAGAAAAATCAAGAAAAACCTCTGGGACCAGGGTAGTGATGAGAGGGACTTACCTTGAAACTTGTTGAGCCTGTGCCTATGGAACTTTCCTTCCTTATATTCACCTTTCTTAAAAAAGCCCGCAGTGACAACAAAGTGCAAGTCAAGGTGAATGGATCAAGGAGAGTGGAAAACGGACTTCTTGTCCCTCGATCCTTCCTCGCCAGAACGACCAGCCGAGCGATCACCACAAAATTTGAAGGAGAGATCATTCGTCAGAAGAATTTATGCACTCACATGGACATAAGACCCGGCTGTTTTTGTAATGTGACATTACCATTCATTTGTGAGCTATTAATTGAAGATGAACCTCGGTTGATACGTACCTGTACTCTTACATATTAGAATGGGGGCGCTTATTCGAAAGGGGGGCTTATAGGAAGGAGGGCGCTAAATCGAATCATTACAGTAATAACGGTTTTGGAGACCATCTTGACGGGTAAGCAACCGCGTTAAAATATACAGTGTTGTGTGCAATTTTTTTTTCCTTCTTGCCTACTAAAATTTCCCAGGAAAAATTGCGCACAAATGTCTGGAAAATCTAAAACAAGCGACCGGACAAATTTAGGCACAGGTGCGGCCCCCATTAATTGTTAGTACAATCCATTGCTGTGAAGCTTAAGTTTACAATTCTTCTTTTTTTAAAAACAGACGTTTAATTAAAATCAGTATTCAACATTAATAGATTCCCATACAAGACCCTTCACCCGTCAAGATGGCTTTCAAAACCGTCATGAGGACTATAGTGTATGGCAGTATAAAAATTGTATTTTTAATATTTCAAAACAACCGACTATTCTTTGCCTCTGCTTTTTTTGTCAGTCCGGCTCAGATCAAATACAGATCATGCTAGAATATTCTGTCAATTCCGTGTTTTAGAGTATTCCGTATTTTAGAATATTCCATGTATTCCGCCATTCTGTTCCATCATCAGTTCGCCATTCCACCGTATAGGGTCACCCAAAGAATTGATGTGTCAAGATGAGCTAAATATCTCTGAAGAAGAAGAGGTTTATGAGCCAGTGATAACTTGGGGCAAACATGATTTGCCATCAAGAGAATGTTTTCTCCCATATCTACTTAAATGTCTGAAGATGTTCTCCATGTCTAAATATAGCATTCAAAGGATTCTAAGGAAAGAAGAATTGGTCAGGAAGGACTCCATTTGCACAGCCATCATGAATAATGGCCTGAAATTTTTCCTGTATCCTGATCAGTTTCTAGGGAGAGTGCTGAAACATCGCTCATCAATTAAATGGCTCCCCATTATTACGAGACACTCATTGCTTTGTTCTTGCTTCTAAGAAATGGCAGCAATTGAGCCCAATACGTGTAGTCTGCTACACAGCCGTTTTTAGTGTCATGGGGAGGAGCGTTGCGTGACGACTCTAAAAACGGCTGTGTAGCAGACTACAATACCTGAGGCCCTGCCAGGAGGGGTCCCATGTCACCTGTCTGAATTTTAAAACATCTCGTGTCAGTGTTTATAAATGCTTGTCGCTTATTGTCAGCTTTGCCGTCACTGTTACAATTTGGCTGAGGGAGGTTGTCTCTTGTCGCGATTTCGTTTTACGCGCTGTCGCTACTTTTTGGGCCATGTCGCTTGTC